CTGGTGACATAATTGGCCCATGCTAGCGTCATGGGCTCCTGGAAAGCGCGGGCATCGTCTTCGTCTTCACACGAGGCTGCTATTCGCTCGATACGGCGGAGTTCGGTAAGTGTGTTGACCTGGTGAGATGTGAGAGAACGGATGAGCTCTCGCACAGGGGGCTGGAGGGTTAGTCGAGGTCGATACGATACGAGGGGGGACGACTTACTCTCTGCCGTCGTGATTTCTTACCAGAACGATGGGACGACATGATGAATACGAGAAATACTTGGAAGATATAGTAGTATGTAGCGTTGTGGATAGCGTGCAATGTCCTTGTCTGCTCTTTACGATATAAATCGAGTGTTGAGAGTCTCAGTCGATGGGAAGCTTCGTATCCGTTATGTATACCAGCCATCACTGTCCACAACCACGTTGGGTCAAGAATATGGTGTGTGCAACGTATGATGCAGCTCAATGTTATGCACCAAAAAAGAAAGGACTGAGACATCAATAGAACCTGTCACCTCCTAAAGTCCAAAAGACATCAAGATGCACCGCGTCAAGGCGTTGACAGCCACGCTCAAACCCCGGCAGCTCGCGGGAGCTCAGACCTCTTTCACGAGCAATATCAAGAGCTGAAGTTCGTGTTGGTGGGATGTGAAGAGTGGAAATACTTTTGCTGGGAGGGTCTTGGAGCCGTGATTGGCCTGGTGACGGATGTTGTAATCGGGGAAAGGGACCAAGACCTTGAACAGCCACGATGTCGACAAGGGGCTATCAGGGCAGCTTAGATTGCTCAGCCCGGATAGTGGAGGGGTGTCAGGCACGGAGCTTCGGGTAGTGGGCGTTAAGCGCGAAGGCTGCTCCCGGCCTGACTGCACGGAGCTGAGAAGCGCGTATGATGTGAGCTAGACGCGATACACAGACTTACACAGCGTCATCAAGGCTCCGGTAACGTTTCAATCTATAGAGAAACATAACAAGGCTGAGCCAGTGAAGCCTCGATGAATTCCAAAGAATAAGAGAGCATCGGGCATTGGGAAACTGCCGAGGTTGAAAAGGGGGTCGCGTGTAGGTTCAGCCAAGCCAAGCTAACCACAGGATTCCAGAAATAAACACAACAAATCTAAAGTGGTCCATGATCCCTGATCTCCCAAGGCATACGGGCCAAAACTGGGGAAACGGTTCATGGCAAGAGGTGGTCTCCGGAAATGCCATGCCGAGAAGGGGATAGCCACCCACGATTTCGTCGGCAGGGGGAACCAAGGGATGGGACCTGAGCCGAAGACATGTGGACCGATTGGAATTCCATGTGCTCGCTAGAATCAATAGAAAGAAAGCTACTGATTGGGTCTACCGGAATGGTAAGCGGGTGAAGCGCGCGTCACTGAGCTTAGACAGCCACCACCGCCTCCGCCAGGACCACATCTAATACTCTGGGGCGCTGCACCGCGCGTAAAATAGACGCGTGGTTTGGCATCTGAGCTCGATCGTCATTCAATGCCCAGACGGGATGAATACGAGCCGATGGGCGGCCTCCTGTGGATGAGCAGCTGCCGCCCTGACGTGCTGACTCGATCAGTTCAGCCCTACATTCAGGTTCACACTTCCTGATGCGGAAAGAGTGGACAGGGGGGAAGAAAACAAAAAGATACATGTATAAGATATCAGCGCCCAAAGATGAAGTGAGCCGAGGGGGGTCCCAGGCTAGCTTGATCCATACCCAAGAAGCGGACCGAGCCTTGGTCGACGTGCCCAATGATGGGCCGAAGAAGATGGAATGGCCGGGTTCCTATTAAAAGATGCAAGGCGCGGAAAATTAATCAGCGGCGTTAAATCTATTGTTGGATCAGGATGACGGGCTGTGAACGGACGAATGAGTGGCTGTGCGGGCCCTGGCTAACCTTGCGGATGGGGTCCCGTGCAGGGGTTTTGGGTTGATGTGATGTGCACGCCATCCCGATTGAGAAATGGGAGAGACGATGATTAACTTTGTCTATGATTTTGAATTTCGGTTGTGAATTCGGTTGTTGAAGATGCGTGGGGTGAAGGGATTGGAGAGAAAGAATTCTAGGGCAGCATTCACAGATCAGGCAATACAGACACTCCATGTACAAACAATGCATGTACAAAGCCACCATGTCTCGCAGATAATCAAGCCATCTAGAATCCATTTGGAATCACCATTCAAAGAACACCATTCTCAACCGCCAAATCTTTTCCATCAAATCGACAGTTGGATGATAAGCTAAATGGTTAGTGCACCAAAACCCCTGAAATTGACAACTCCACTGGATGACATTGAACCGTCGATGGCGCAGCCCACTCTCTCTCTCTCTCTAAAAATAACACCACGATCTTAGCCCTTCTAAAAGTCCGGACTCCGACACCTCCGAAGACCGGGGAATGTTTTACTCTCAAAGAATCCTTTAAACGCCATTAAGCGCCGCGTGCTGTTTATCTTTGTCGCACCTCGAATGTGGCACTGGCTCGGACAAGATCTGGTGCCGAGGCTGTTACTCGATCGACACGTAATCAAGCCTTTCAAGGTAGATGAGCAACACAAGTTATGAAGTTTCAAGTTGGGCTACTTTGCTGATCTTAAGGTTTCTCTTCTTATTAAAACGGAGTATTCGGCATATTAATAAGGAGCCATGTCTTCCACAGTCTTGACGTCAAGTTCCATGCCACAAACCGCCGCAACGAGCTTACATTACGCCAGCCGTGGTAGAGAAGGTCAAGCACAGGTTTTGCATCCCCCTGGCGCGTTGCAAGCTGATATCAATATAGACCCTATAGCCAGGTCGTGAAAGACTTGATCAGCAGGCCAGCTGCCACGGTTGGAAAAGCTCCCTCTCTGCTAAACACCTGCACGACATCCTCACCCCTGGCGCTCGTGGTGAAGCGATGGTCTGGTCCGACCCAGCGGGGCTCGGCAGAGGCGCCGGCCGAAAAGCACAAACGCAATATCGGCCTTCCAAGGGACCAAGCAAAAGGATGTAAGTCCATCTCATGTCAATACCATGGGTGGATATTGCAGTTGCTATGATGGTCAAACAGCTTCATCTCTGGCAACGATTAGAACTACTCCCGCATTAGCCTCGATCGAAGAGGTTCGCTTCAGGATCTAACTCGCCATGCCTCAGTTCTTTGAGGCCGACAACTGAGTACAAGGTTGATCAGTCTATGAGAGCATTACGTTGAGACAGAGAGCCTATTGCAACAACAAAGGGCGCTTTTTCGACACGATGTTTACATAAGATCAATGCTGTAGAAACCTGTAACTGGCTAGATATAACTAACTATGTGACATATCTTGTAACAAGGCAGCTATCAAAGCTTGTTTGTACCCAGTCAGTACCCAATGAAGGATATCTCCCTAACTTGTTCACTTTAGCTACTTAATGTTTCCTCTTATATAGAGCCAAACACATAAGTGAAGAATGTCATCGCAACAAGGTCCCCTCTAACTTCAGCCCATCTATACCCAACTCGTTGAGCCCTAGCCCCGGTTATGCCCCCTCACCCACGTCAATCCCCAGCTTATCAGCCCCAATGCTCAATTCCATAGGGCAGAAATGTTTATCTTACCAACACTGAAACGTGCTTATGATATCTTCCCAACTCTCTGGCCCGGAACTGTTCCGTTGGGTGGAGACCCTACGAACCCATGCTCCTTGGCATCCACTGTTACATCCCGCCCCATCGTTTGGATACGGAAACTCTTGACGGCCAGAGTCAGAATCACAGCTTCACTTTTACGTAAAATGGCTCCGTCTTGGCTGAGCCAAGGTCTGGAGAGAAGCGGAGGCCATGGGCTCTTTCCCCTGGGGTAACTGCCTTGCCCATGGGGAAATCCCAACTACCCAGGGTCATGAGGGGGAAAAGAAATACATCAGCTTTTTTCAGACATGCTTTTTGTGATTCTTTCAACCGTTGTCGGTTTTGAGTGCATGCATGTACGCCACACAGCAAGCCTCGCAGATTGAGTTAGTGAAGGATGTATGAGGCTCAAGCTATCAAAGGAGACTAAAGATACGGGCCGTCGATCGAAAGTCGCCCGTCTCACTGCAGCTGCTTCTTTAGGCTTCGGGGGATACAAGACCCTGACCTGGCTCACGATGCGCGGTTTTTTTATGCTTTCACCCAAAGGCCACATCATCTTGCTCCCTGACAACAACCTGATTGCTTGCCCCTATAACCTGCTTTCCTGTGCAGGCGCGCTGGCTTTCCCTTAGATGTTTGTCGACACTGAGGCCTTTGTCTGGCTTGAGCGTTTGTTACGTCAAGGGTGCAATCAACAACGGCCGATGCTCAACCTGGATCGACATGGGCTGTACGTATCCCGTTACTGCTTGTTGAGCCTCGTGTCTCTTCAACAGCAACCTCATCGATCAAAACTTCCCCCGTGTTCCCAGCATCAGAAACCGAAAACTCGATACTCTCACGACTAAATACCCCATACGCAAAACATTGCCTCAGCAGAGAATGTCTCCACTGCGGGCATGATTGTGGGGAGTTTTCCATACTCCACGATATCACGGCTTCCTATGGGGAAGGTTTCGCCGGCCCAGGAGCAAACACCCATCGCCAAGGGCGTGGCAATGTCAGACAACACCAGGCCATGTAATTCGAATAACTCATGGAATTTCCGGTGGAATTTCTAGAAGTATAAAAGTGCTCGGGGCACGCCGCTAGTTTGTTTTAGTTCTTTATCATAGTCTCAAGTGCCTCGAGTTCCTAGCAAAGCCCTACTTCACTTGTCCACACAAACTGAAATCTCTTCTTGGACTTTATGTGTCACATCCTTTTCTTCCAAGCACGAGGTTGCTAAGGGAAAACACAGCCAGCCTCTCCAACAATCCCCAGCAACATATAATCAGCTCCCCCTGAACACCAACAACATGACCGCCATGATGTCTTCCATCCCAAACGAAACCAACAACGCCATCGTCCCCGCGGCAGACAACGACCAAATCGACACCAAAAAGCAGAGCAGCGATGCCGAAAAGGGCCAAATGTCTGGAAATGACGAAGTCGACTTCAAGGCCGCCCCCCACGAGGAGGTTGCCGACAACATCTTTGGCGGCGAGGGAGGTGAGGGCTTCCGCAACATGGGACGCTGGGATACACTCTTTGCTTTGGTCACAAACCAGCTAGGTCTCGGAGTCCTCTCCCTGCCGTCGTGTCTCAAGATTCTCGGCATTGTTCCCGGACTCGTCGCCATCGTCTCGATTGGTGTCCTTACTTGGTACTCGGGCATCCTTCTCCACAAGTTCTACTGCAAACATCCCCATGTCGTCAACATGGTTGATATGGTTGCCGTTATGGGAGGGCGCCGTTGGGAAATCGTGGCAGCCGTTGGAATCTTGATCCAGCTCCTCATGACCTGCGCTTCATCTGCCATAACCCTTTCTGTCATCCTCAACACCATCAGCGAACATGCCATGTGTACCGTTGGGTTCATCGGCGTCGGTGCTTTGATCATCTGGCTCTTCTGTCTCCCTCGCACCGTCAAATTCGTCTCTCAGAGCGGTGTCCCCTGCTTCCTCAGCATCATCATCGCGTCTCTCATCGTCATCATCAGCCTAGGCGTCAAGAAACCCACCAAAGCCCCTGAAGATTGGAAAGCCGATATTGTCATTGCAGCTTCGCCGGATTTCAAGCAAGTCTTCAACGCCTGCCTCCGTGTCTTTTTCGCCTACGCAGGCAATGTTGCCTATTGCTCCTATATGGCCGAGATGAGAGACCCAGCCCGTGATTTCTCTTTTGGCCTTTCATGGCTGTTCGTCGTGTCGATTGCTGTTTATTCTACTGTTGCGATCGCCATATATTGTCTAGCGGGCGAGTTCACCACGTCGCCAGCACTTGGCTCAGCTCCCATAATCTACGCCAAAGGAGCATACGGTGTCATCATCCCAGCAGTCCTTACTACAGGCCTCGCCAATGGTCATATCGGTATCAAGTACATCTACATTTCTGTTATGCGCAAGTTGAAGGCCACGAACGAGATTACTTCCTCCACGCTTAGATCTTGGGTCGTCTGGGTGTCGTCCGCCACTGTCTTCTAGGCCCTTTGCTTCATTCTTTCCAACGCCATCCCCATTTTCGATTCTATCCTCGCCATCAGTTCCTGTACAACATATGCTTGGACTGCCTGGGGTATCAGCGCCTGCTTCTGGTTCCACATGAATAAGGGTTCATACTTTGTGGACTGGAAGCAGATGGCCTTCTTCGCCCTGAACGTCGGTCTCATCGGTCTTACCCTCTTCATGAACAGCGTCGGGCTATGGTCGGCCATTTCAGAACTCCTGGATAGTTTCAAGAGTGGTTCAGGAGTCCGGGGTTCCTTTGACTGTGGAAACAACGCCAGTTTCTAAGTCAATCCCAGCTGAGAGCCGTCCTGCTGCTGGTACTTGAAGACTCTTGGCAGCAGCCATAAATGAAGCCCGATACTGTCTCTGCTTATATTGTGTCTAGATTGCCTCGGTCACCTTTGTATTTTGCATGTAGATCTCCTCGCATATCAATACGGTATTTTTGTCATTGTATGGGTCGCAACGCTGAGCATTCAACCCGCGACCAGCAAGTTCCCATAACCACCACGACTGGTACTACACTCTGGGGGCTGATAGTTCAGTACGTGTGTAATAATGATTAGATACGCAAATCAGTAGCCTGTGTATATATTGATCACCTGTATCATAACAGCGTCTATCATTGAGTGGCATTGCCTTGATGAAGCCGCTTTCACGCGTCGCTTCTTTATCCTGACACCACCCCTCATATACTCTCCATCTCTTTACGCCTGGGCATTTTCTCGACCCCAAAAGAATTTACCCGCCCATGTATATCGTGCCAAATGTAAATAATCTATCCAAGATGCCGACTCAGCTGGAGGGAGAGGCTACCGTCAGGGCAATCAAGCTGACTCTGCCTCGGTAGAAGCATCCTCGGAGCCTACCCAATCGTCGCTCTCGAGGCCAGCGCCATGGATGAACAAGGAAGCGATCCAACCGCAGATGGCCAGGCCGCCAAACAAACTCCATGCCAGTGCCTCGCCTTTGGGATGGATGCGGGTTGACAGCGTGAACAGGGCACCAGACACAAAGGGCCCAATGCTGCGACCCAGGGCGGAAAGGGTCTGCGCCAGACCGTTCAGGCTCCCGAGACTCGCGTGTGATGGGGCAGAGTTGGTAATCTGTCTGCATGTTAGTCGAACCCACTACAGTACAACAGACAAGGCAACTTACCAAGAGCATGACGCTCGATAGGCCACCCACAGCACAGAGGTTCTTGAGGATCAACACCACCCCAAGCTCCAGGTAAAGCCACAGCTTCCCAGATCCAACGCCAAACAGCGGCTTGTCGTCGGCGTAACCAACCCACGGCATCAATACCATGCTGATGCCGAGACCCAAGAGGGCAAACTGATATGTACCAAGATTCCCCACCCTGGTCTTAAATGGCTGGAAGAGGAAGGCTTGGAAGATGATGCTGGCCAGCCCAGCGACACTTAGGCTGACGCCAATCTTGCTGGGGAGAAGATCGCGACCAGCTGGTGGGGGAGTGGCAGCAAATATGGGGTACAAGCTGTTAAAGGAGATGTTGGAGAGTTGAAAGACGAGATATGTGCACAAGACAAGGATGGTGGTGCCTGTAAGCTCTTTCCACGTAGATCTCGCGGGATCTAGCTTGGTGTCTTCGTCGTCGTCATCTTCTGCTTCATCGTCCGAGTCATCAGAGTCGCCAGAGGACAACAGCGGTTGGGTATGCGATCGCGCACGAGGCCATCGTGCGCTCCAAGAGTGACGTCGTGGCGGCGGCTTTTGAGAGGGGAGCCATGATAAGACCTTCTGTACCCAAGCTGGCAGCTCGAAGTTGACCTGTGACTTGTCAAGAGTTTCCTCGAACCAGATTCCTACCACGACGACGCTGCACGCAAGCAGCGCAGCCGCAAGAATATTGGGCGCTAGATATGGAAACTCGTTTCCTACCTTGCCGACAAGAATGCCACCCAAGGCAGGCCCAGTGATACTACCCAGAGAATATATAACGGGCAAGTAGGTAAAGGCTCGGCTCTGGTTGGATCGATCGGTGACCTCGCCCAAAACCGTCGGGACGCAGGCGGCATTGCCATTCAACAATCCCATGGCGACATGGACCACCACAATCTGCCAGTACTGCTTGCAGAGTCCAAAGACGCAGAAGCAGCACATGAGGGCAAAGGTGCCCATGATCAGGACAGGCTTCCTCCCAATCACGTCTGATGCGTATCCCCAGAGGAAATTTGTTGACAGCTGAGCCAATGCGAATGCGCTGGCCAGAATCCCGACATACAAGCCGGCCTCGGCAGGAGGGATCCCTGGCATGGACACCACCATGTCGGGGAGGTATGGAGATATCGAGTTCAGGGCGGTCTGCTCGGCCAGGGACAGGAACGCTAGCAGAAGCAGCTGCCGAACAGGCAATGGCGTCTCATCGTTATCGTCTTCGGAGGCGGTAGAACTCGCGTCGGACGGGGGAGATGGCTGCTCGAGGGGCGTCTTTGGTGGCGTCGTGGGAAAGGTCTGGTAGCGATGAGACTGTCGTCGCATTGCGCTGAGTGTAGGAATCGGTGCGCCGGCGTGGAACGAGCCTGACGAGGTGGTTCGACTGGCTGCGGTAGCTCTTATCACGGGCGTGGCTCGTGAAGGCGACATGATGGGCAATGTCAAGAGCCTCTTGAGGCCCTGTAAAAGATTGTCGCACAGCGTCAGTCAAGCCTCTTCAAGCCTGTCGCCTCGCGCTGGGATCCGGGCACCGGGAACGGCGAAAAGTGGTGACGTAGGGCGGGCAAGATTTACTCGACGGCGGGGCTGACGCGGGCCAGAAAGAGGACAGAGCTTGGACGCGACAAGGGCATTGCCGGAGGAGGGGAGGAGAGAAGGCAAGAACTGGTCTAGCCTCTAAACCGTCGATTGAGCGAAAATTGAGTGATTGAGGAGTAAGGATTGCAAGGGGAGGATTTGTCGCAGATGGCCCCCATTTCGATGGAAGAGAGGTGCAGCTGATGCCGGCCGCGTGAGTCGCATTCCAGGTACGTACCTCGAAAGATCTTTGCCGGAGGGTACGGCCCACTTCGGACTTGACACCCAATCAGAGGCGGTGATTGGCGAGGAACCGGACGGCGCGTTCCGCTGTTCGGGAGGCAAAAGCTTGGCCTGGCCATGCTTGGTCTTGGAGCAGCGAATCGAGTCTCTCTACAGGTTGTTTTAATCACGGATAAGCAAATTATTGGGTTCAGGAAAGGATCATATTTAAATAGAGCGGCGAAACACGGTCGCCCAGTTTCATGCCTCATTCGAACTGCCCCAGAGCATCATTGAAACGGCAGGTTGGCACGTGCTCTAGGTTAGTTGGTGTTGAGTTAGGGATGATGATCTCTCTGAATGAATGTCATTGTGCCTTCCACTGTTATTGTTGTTTGCGTCACTGTAAACATAACGTTATTATGAGTCCATGACAGTTACTCATCTCCTGGGTTTTATCTCTCACAACGATTTACCATTGGCCGAGGCGACCTTTGAGCTTGGGCCTAACGGCAAGAAGCCTACGTGATCACTTACGCCGCATACGGCGATAGCTTGACCGTACCATTTCCCTATGATCATTGTCCACCCCAGCTAGTTTCTCTCAATTTCCGGCCTTAATTCCTTCACTATCACTCTTCCAAACGTAACACTCGTGAGATGAAAAGCACCATTCAAGATTGCCGCTCCAGGAGACCTCAAACCACTCGTCCATGTCGGTGTCTAACTCGCATGTAGACAGTTCGATCTTGGCTATGTAGGAGTGCCCATCCTTGGTCTTTTTAAATCCGAGATGAAGGTTTCGAGAGCAATCCACCGCGATAGCTGGGTCAAGACGATCAAGACGCATGTGGCCAAGGGATGCCTTGTTGCCGTCTGAGTAGTGTAGGAGCAGTCCGGTTATCATGGTCTCCCCTTTCGCTATTTGTCGACAGGGCACCACTTCCACGACGCCCTCGACCGAAGCGCAGGACCAGTGGGGGTTATTGAGAAGCTCAGGATCGGCTGGGTGAGACAAAGGAGCCGAAGTAAGGACTGGAGTGGATGGAAAGCTCGGACAGGGAGCGTCAAACCCCAGTTCGCGAATGCAAAATGGTATCAGGCTGTCAAAAAAGAAGAGGGGGACGCTGCGTTCGTACGCCGGGGAAAACAAGGGGGTCCATTGATACTTGTGTTCGTCCAAGGCCCATGTCTTATGGCATCCAAAGAAGAGCAGGCGCCCGCTATTCATCTCAAATGCCAGGCCTTTCTGATCGATCGAGATACGGTTCCGTTGCACCCAGATGCGGACGATGCGCTCGTCTTTCTTGATGGGCATATAGATCCAGGCTGCGTCCTCGGGGGTGGATTCATAGCACGAAAGGTCGTCGTCGAAACTGCTGTGGGTATGGAGCGCAAGCACGGCAGGGTCGCAACAGATGGAGTAACCGGTGATGTCGGGGTCGTTGTGTCGGAATAGTGACATCTGGCGCGGCTCTGTTGTTGGAGCGTGTGAGAATAGGTATCGAAATAGGGAAAATTCGGGGTCTCGTGGGAGGGAGAAAGATGGCAAGCACCTTGTTGTTTTGCCTCGATCATAGTAGTCGTGATACGATAGATATCGCAGCTTAATACCCTTTGAACTCTGGTCAGCCACATTGCCATCAACTCCAAAGAGGGACATGTTACATCACTGTGAAATTGCACTGAGGCACCTGGCTTGTAGACCGAGAATGACTTCCACCATACGCCGGGAACGTCGCTGACTGTGATGGGGTCGTTGGCCAGTATCACCTGTCTGATGCCGGCATGGTCCTCAGCCACGTAGATCATCTCGGGCGGAACCCAGCTCTCGTCTGACACTGGCGCATTTCTGACAGATTGGAGATGTCGCTGACCCTCAAACGTGGTATAGGTCTCCGTAATCGCCGATGCAACAGAGACATTGGAGACAGTTCTTTGCTACGACAAACTCTTGGATGAGATGTCTGGCCACAGCTCTCCTCAGCCAGCGACGTCGTGCTCTCTCAAGACGCGGCGATGGCTGGAACGACCAAGCGCTGAGCTGGAGCACTCGGTCCAGAGGTGCGTCGTCGACGATCCTCAGGCACGAGGGATGACAACCAACGCCTTCTTCAAACGTGTGAGCGCACCGGTCGAGGCCAGGGCAGGCAGGGTATGCGTCGCTAGGTTGGGCGCCTTCTTCATCATTCGTGATTCTTGTCCACGGGTGGAATGGAAGCGGTCCTGATTTCTCACCCTCTTTCACTATGGGCCCAATATTAGTGTCACAGGAGATATACCATAAGACTTATTCTATACTTACCAACGATTATGATGTCTTCACGTTGTAGTTTGAAGTTGCAGAGACCACATCGCTCTGTTAGCCTTGGAGTTGACATCTTCGGTTTCAGAGGGAAACGCCACAGAGAGAGGTTTAACAGTGAAAAAAAGAATGGAAACAAACCTACAAGAACCGGACTCGGAAGATTTTCGCTTCCGGGTCTCAGGCCCAGTCACTGGTCTGGGTGCTTTGGTTGCACAGCAAACAGATGAAGGTCGGGGCAAACGGGGGCTGAGATGATGCAAGACAGTGAATCAGAGACGAAAGTGCGTCGCTAGCAGAGGGTGCCTCTATAGGTGCCCAAGACATGCATTGAATTGCATTTAAAACTTTGTGCTATTAAAACTGCTTTGGAGACTTATTCCTCAATGCATGAGTTACGTGTGATCCAGCCTGGCTGTCTCGAAGCGCCATGACACTGGCCCCCATCAATTGACTATTAACAGGTAGCATGAAGAAAGGTGACCACGGATGCCCATCATAGCCTAATTTCCCAATTATCGAGCTTTCGGGAAATAGGGCACAGCGATATCATGCGTCTTGGGCCCAGAGTTGGGAGGGAGTCTTTGGCCTCCAATGGAGAAGGGCTCAATGGTGGGCGCCGCCCAACAACGTCAAAAGCTCAATAGTGGCCTCGGCTCAATATCATTGGTTGGACAGATCGAAATAATTGCAGGAACAAGAAATGATACAGTCAGAAGCGCCGGTCCATGATGTCCGGAGAAAGCTATAAGGGTATGTGGCTTCCTTCGGTTAGGACCAACAAGAGCAGCCTTTCTCATGTGCTCATTCATCGCCCCAGTTGGCACTCAACAGAATGCCTGGGAAAACCACAATCCTCGAGGAGCTGACCAAGCCAAACCCACTCGTGAAGAACATGGCCAAATGGGGCCCCAACTCGGCGAACAGTACTTGGGCAGCAGTCGAAGGCTGGACACAGTGGCAGGACTTCACTGCTGAGAGGTTGTACGCCATCTTCTTTGACGTGGTTGAGTCTGAATGGAACGTACGGAGCGAACTGCATGCCTCGCCGACAGACTGGGATAGCCAGGTCTTTGATGAAGATGGGCTCGAGCACGCGGTACTCAGCACGCATCTTCTACCTCCGGTCAATGCCGCTCTCCGACACGGTTTGCGATATGCCAAGCTCGACAAGATGGCCAGCATCAATCTGGGTCGAGCTGGGCGGACATATTATGAGCCTGGAGGGGACCGCCGGTTCAAGCCTGACTGGGCTCTCTGCTCCGGCAACCACATTGAAACATTCGCGGACAACAGTTTTCGCTACTACAGCCTCATGCCAGGGGACAGCAAGCTTTCCAACAAGTGGCATAGCTCATTTTGCCAGGAAGCGGCCAAATTTGCCACTTGGCGGGATCCAGTACGACAGATCCTCACATACTGCATTCAATCTGGTTCTCGATATGGCTTCATCATCACGGACAAGGAGCTTGTTGTGATACGAATTCGTACCGAACCCACTGGATCAGGTCTGGGAGCTTCTAGATCTTCTCGTCAGCAGCCTCAACACTCCTACAACACCTCGACAAGCACCGACATGTCAATGCTTTCGACCAGCATGCGAGATGTGTCCATCTCAGGCTCGTCGTGGAAGTCCACCAGTCCGGCGGTTGACGGGTATCCCGTAGAATATCGAGCGATCCCCTGGGAGAATCATGGGAGGGGCAAACGCCAGTTGACAGTCCGCCTAGCTCTTTTCTACCTGTCCTGGATGGCAGCTCTTGGGCGTAATGAGCCACAGCCTAGCTATCCAAGCCTGGACTCGGCGTGGTTTAGCATTGACGGGGCATTTGTCCACAACACCACGGGTCTCGTATCCAAGAAGAGTGTCAAGAAGGTGGAGTATCCCGACCCGTCGGGGGGGAGAGGGCCGAGATGGGAGACCATTGAGGGCGACGATGACGGTGAGTCCATGCAAGTCCTCACATTGGAGTCGGTCCTTACACTGGACGTCACGGAGCATGGTGGGAGAAATTATTACTACTTCATGGACGACGAGGAGCCCGTGCTCATCACGAGCGGGATTCCGATTTATGACAGTAGCGGACAGCAGTACGGATACTTTGACGGGCTGGCGTGGAGGGTTGGAAGCCCACCGCAGCCTTCGGAGAACACGGCCAAGTCCAAGAGGAAGAAGCACCGAAAATGAGCTGAAGGATGTAGGATGCTGGGGTGTGAGTTTGCGTTTCAGATTGCCAAGGCCTCCATTAAGCAGATTGCAAACAGATGTTTTATTGAGTACCTATCGCACGCATATGCACATTGGTTCCTGGTTCAGCTGGTCGCGAGTATGTGTGAGCGGCGCTCACGTTCCGATGAGCTTGGCTCACGCTTTGGTGAGCTGAGCTCACCCACTGTAGTGAGCAGAGCCAACGCTGCCACCTCTCCATGCATCTCAGGTAATCGAGACGAGATCTTTGGCCAGTGGGTGGGTGGATTGAAGGCACCACACACGTCAGCGGGAGCCTAGACGGGCAATGCCCTCTGGGTATCTAGTTAGGTGCAGCAGAGACTAATCGCGCAGGGTCAATGGAACAGGACCAACTTGTTGTGATTCACGTTTCAATTAGGCGTGTGCAAGACTTCCATGGTAAGGCGCGTCAACAAATCGACTTTCCACTTCCTCCACACAAGCCGCAGAGATAAGGCCCGTTCCTCCCAGAACCCTTGCAGAACTCGCACTGGTCGTCCTCTGCCATACCCAAAGTTGATTCCCAGAGGAGCCGATTTTGTATCATGGGTCAGGTCAAGCTAGCACACGACGTGAGCAGTTCGATTCCAAACACATTCCGCAACGGCAGACATACATAAATGTCGGGGGCGTGAGGGGTGAAGGTGGTCTCGGGTTGTCCAAGTTCTGCATGCAGTGGGCATTGTTTGTTGGAGGGGCAAAGGAGGCCTTTTTGTGGGTGGGATGATGGGCGCCTGTCTCTCTCTTTTTCTCGGCTATATTCGGGCTGAAATGCATCCATCCATTCATTGTATGCACATGAATCGTGTGACTGGCTGATCCCGTTCTGGGCGTGGGTGACTTCAACCATTTGTTTACTTGCTTGGTCCATCTCCGCTCCCTTCCCAAAGCCCTCCACGCTCATTCACAATCGACATGACTGAGAACATTCACCAACAATTAGGATGCACTTGTCGCGGGAGATTCTCAACGCAGGAGGACCTGCTCAGTCATCTTGAAGCTGCCAAGGTCTGTAGTTTGGGAAGTAGAAAGCCTTGTCTGATCTTCAGCAGCGTCGGGTGGAGGAGCTAATGTCAGAATTGCGTGAATGCCTGTCGCACAGCATCTGCCGTATAGATCCCGACAATCTCCAGTCCACCAGTATCGTTGGTCCCCCTGGGTCGATCGAGAACGATCAAGTTGGCCTTGCCTACATGTGTCCGCATGCAGAGTGTGAGGGAATACAAAGAATCAAGTTTAGCAGACGGCGAAATCTTGTGCGACATTATGCAAAACGTGGGAACCCTCCATCTCTATTGTTGAATCTGCATTACCTGGTTGACTCACAATGCTCTGCCAGACATCGAATGCCGAGAAGCATGCGTCTTCTGCGGTACTTCCGTATCTCGAGTTAGCAAGTATGTCGGGCATATCGAGCGCTGCATGCGGCGGAACAAGACCAAGTGTCAACCAGAACGCCAGCAGCAAGACGGAGGGGGTATATATACACAGAACCGACGCTTTGCACAGCGCCGGGTGAAAACCCTCATGGAAATTGTCGCCAAAGAGCTGAGACTCAAGATGGGAGTTGATGATTCGGATTCTGAGCAAGTTTCGGATGAAGAGTTGCAAATGCTCGACTGCCACCAAGATTCCCCCCAGAGCCAGCAGTCCCGCTCACCTCATTTACGCAAGCGAAAACGGGCCAAGATATGTGACTCGAGTAGCAGTATCGATCTTCGGCCGCCGTCACTCCTCGACGCAAATTACCTCCGAGCAGGCACCGAGCCGCTCTCACACGCCATCAGCGGCTTTGGCACAGACAGTACAGAGCCTGCAGCACCTGTGCCCCAGGAACCCGATCCAGGGGTGTCACTCTTTCAAGATGAAATCCCATCATTGGGTCATACCGTGGGCGCTGCAGACGATGCCGCGTTACTTGGCGGTCCGTCGTTCGTGTATTCTCACATGATGAATGGAAAAGAAACTACGGTGCCATCGACTGCGCTGGCTCCGTTCCTTTCCTTCACGATAGACAGGTCTTTAGGCCTCGGCAGAGTCTCAGGGATGGGCACCGAGGGTGAGCAGGATTGTCTGCAGCAAGACAGCTCCCTAAGATGGGTCGACGATTGAACCGGGGGTGTTTCCAAGGAGGCCACAGGACATGCGTTGTGATCGCATTAGACAACTTGGTCCTCAAACCCAAAGTTCACCCCAATAGTCGCACTCTCCATTTCGGTCACCTTCTTCACGAGACCCTCTTGCTTCTCAAGCATCATCTTTCCCCAGTGCTGTAGCCCTTCTGGTGTCGTAAAGCCGAACATGATTGCGAAACCTTGTACAATCTCGAAGGCGAGTCGGCCATCTATAATGGTCCTAGAACGTCTCAGCGTACGAGCAATTAGATAGTCGACATGGAGCACGTACAAACCCCCTTGCATCATTTCAACTTCAGTACTCTCACCTTTCAGGCGCGCAAATGGGACTTGAAATAGCCCGATGGCGGAATGGACTGCTCCAAGAGGATATCGATGTGAACCACCCCAAAGTTTAACCCGTGCTCCCTTGCTCCAGAGCTGCACTACCAGGTATTTTGAGGCAGTCTCAGGGAATGTGTATTGTCGAGAAGGGTCCCTGCCGAATATTTTGTAGAATATCAGACATGATTTTTCAAAACAAGACTCGAGAACATGCCGAACTCTCTAATCTATGGTCAATAGCGAACAGGGATTTTTTTGAATATTGCTTAGACCTGCCTTGTCATCAAGGGTGCCAAGCCTGCAAAAGTCCAAGCCTTCCTCGGTCAGGAAAGGAAACCCCTTCCTTCTCATCTGGTCGACACGCTCCCCTACAATGGGGTCTTCAATACAAATAAGCCCATCCTCCTCAAGCAGGTTTCGGATATTTGCTGCTGGCAATAGTGCCTTTTCAGAAGCCATGGGGTTGAGAGTGGTGGGGAAGGGAAGCTTGCTTTGGTGTCGCCATCGGGCAAGAATTATTCCCGCCGAAATCCTTTGAGTAGGTACCTAGTCACGTGCGTGGATCACGACTTGGGTTCTTAGGTACCTCAGGCATCACTGTTTGTGCCTTATGCGTAAGGCCACAATTGCCAACGTCGGACAGGCATCGCCTACTGGGCCTTGGCTCATTAACAGCCTCTCTACCACTATCGTCCGATGTCTTCTCCCACTCCTTTTACTTCGCCTGATCTCAAAAAAGGCGACCCGCCCCTTTCCTGGAAAGACTTTAAGAGACCAAGGCTCAGGCGATTCTCACCGCCGAGCAACCTTCAACTGCAAGAATACCTTGGTGGAGGAGAGGATGGCTTCGTCTTCAAAACCCAAGCTGATGAGCAAACTCTCATGGCCGTGAAAATCGTCAGTCGCTTTCTCCATGTAACCACCTGATTGAAAAATTCACTGTTTGCATAGTTTTATCACAATCGGCAACCTGAACCCATCTATGGCATCGGGCGTTATTGGGCCTTTGAGAGAGAGTGCATCAACTGCGCACTGCTTGACATGATCGGTGCTAGCCTGCGACGTGCAAAAACGACAGGAAATCCAATACACTTGCGTCCAAATCCTACAAAGCACAAACACGCTATCCGCAATCTATTTGCCTTCTCCGATGAAGGGTACGCGAAGAGTCCACCCCCGGAACACTTTGTGCCATTCGAACCCAGCGTAGAGATAAACCATTGCTTTGGCTGGACCGAATTACCAGGGCGAGACATCAACGCCGCTCTCAAGCGAGCCTGGGTTCATCAGGACATAGACGACGACCAAACATATTTCGCCATCGTCTACTCCTTTGTCCCCAAAGCAAAACTGGAGGCTGAAACGATCATTTCGCAACTCGAATTCTTCCAAATTACCGGGTTCTACAACGTTACATTCAACTTCACCAACTGGTTGGGAACAGGCGTACTTGTTGACTTCTGTGATATCGTCCACCCATTTGCTCACGAGCTGGAATGGAGTGAACAGTGGTATGCAAAGAACCCGATTATGCTTCATGCTGCAGTTAGATACCAGGCGCAAGAGGAGATTTTCTAGACTCTTAATACTCTACCGGTTGATATTATTTGATGTTGGTCTGATGTGAGCGTAGTGGTGGAAATAGCTGTTTTCCTGTGCTCGTGTCCCCGACGCTATCCACTTCCGAGTTGCGAAACGTAAACACGAGAACTATTCAGATGGGACTTATTAAACCAGGAGAAACACTTGTAAAACTTCTATGTCAATTTCATATCGTAACGCTATTAATTGTGAAGCTTAGAAATGTAATAAGGGCAGAGTTAAGGTTGCTCAAATCAACTCCAGTCTCCATCGTATGTTTATGTTTTTGCCTGTTCGTACAGTCATAATACAGATGCATCAAACTAATCCTACACCCTAACAACTCCTAGCTATGCTCGATTAATAGCTTAATATCCGTGACCTAAATAATTCATTGTCAGTCCCGATCTTTGGCAAGTCAACTCTGAATACTCACGTCCGAGGGATCGTCCCATCTTTGACATTTCCTTGGCCTGGTGCTCCTTGACCTTGGCCCTCCTCGAGTCTTCCTTCGCCTCAACCTCGAGCCTCTTGACGTGTTCCCTGGCCTCCCTCACGCTCAGTCTAGCCTCCTCTAGTGCGCGGTCCGCCTCGCGCTCCGCCATCTCGGCGTTACGCACACGCTCACGAGCTTCGAGGACTGCGGGGTCATGCTCGTTTCTGTTTCCATGGCCAAAGCTTCGAGTGATAAAGTTTCCTCCGCCAGTGCTGCGGCGGTGGGGGGAGCGCGAGGAAGAAGAGGACCGGCGGGAGTGAGAGCCTGAGGAGTGACGGGATGCGCGACGAGGAGAGGGTTCACGGCGAGAGGAACCGAAAAGACCGTGCTTGCGAGGGGGCTCTTCCCTGATGGGCTCAGGAGACGGTTCACGGCGGGAGGCTCCAAAGAGAGGCATGTTGATAGTACCGCGTAAGTGGTGAAGGTTGTGTAAGTGGTGGAGATGAGGGATGGGGTTGCTTGTCGAGAATGTCTTGGAGTGACTTTTAATTCTTGCGAATGATGAGAAAAGAATGAAGCTTTTTCCCAAGAGCTGGGCGGTCCTTGGCCTTTTTACACTCCTTGATCAGACACTCTCGATGCCATCAACCGCAAATATCACCAACTGTGAAACCTGCTTTTGCCCTGACGTTGAGATAACCCTTTACGCTGTGACGTCAACCCAAGCATGTAGGGTAGGCCAGGGTTGTTCCCCAAGGGTCCGCCCAATCATGGCGCGTTGATGACACAATGAGGCACCGGGGTAGGCATGGGGATAGCGTCACTTGTTTAGGGATGGGCGATCTTATGACGCACGAGGTGGTGTTGGAATGAGGATGTTGACGACATTGCGACTGGGGGCGATGCTTTAAAACCAGTGAGTTGGTGGTGTTTATCGTGGTATGAGGGACTAACACCTTGCACGACGACGACATTGCGAGTAAAGGTTGCTATTGGTCTGGGTCCAGATCCTGGAATACCCTCCGACCTTGAATTATGGCTGCTTGCTTTCCCTGGTATCGGGGACGAGTGATACCAGTATCAAGCTTCACCTGGAGACGACCAAACATTGACAATGAGGTCAGCGCTCTTGTAAGCACTGCACAGCGCTAATTCCATCCATGGTCGTGTGTCGCGTCTCTCGCACTCGTCGACTGGTCATTCACCTTGAACATTTCGGTGAGCATCTCCGTGCATGCCGGAATCACCTTGATCCGCTCCATCGGCATTGCCAACCAAGCATCTCGTGCTCGTCGTAATCAACGTGGCTGTGCGCCATGTAGCTCTTGGCCACATCATGGATCTTCTGCACACTCTCATGTCCAGAACCTGGGTAAATCTCATTAAGAATTCGCTAGCAAACAGAGAAGAAGTGTAGTTAGACACCCAGCTGAGGATAGTGAAACAACAATAACAAGAAATGGGCGACATGGCAACAAATGGAATGTCGAGGGTAGTAGAAGCAAAAAATGTAAATCTCCCAGCATTGCGCGCGTCTTCCAGCCCTGCTTTACTCCTCTTCGTGCTCTCATCTTGCAACCGTGACTCCCAGCAAAAAAAAAAAAAAAAGAAGAAGAGGTGTAGGAGACAAGGACCGAGGCAGAAACACCAACCGAAAATAACCCTATGTGCATATATGCCGCACTAGATATGTACAGAGAAGACCCCGTTGTGAGAGGGATGAGGACGAGTGAGATGAGTGAGAAACCGGGCCGAACGAAACAATGGATCCCCTGTTCTTTTGGAAATGGTCGGTCGGATGTCGTCGATCGCTCGCTTTCGTCGGTGGTCTGGCTCGTATTCGATATAGATACTCGTCCGGTCTGACGAGCATTTTCGTATAGGTAGGTAGTTGTTGAAAAGCTCGGCCGTTTACATGACGGTGCACTTGCTCTCCTCGCGGTCCTTCTTGACGCTCAATGCCACTCGCGCGGCCTCTGTAAAGGCCTCGTTGACGCCCCGGTTCTTCATGGCTGAACACTCGAGATACCGGAGCGCGTTTATGCGCCGTGCCACCTCGAGGCCTTGGTCGTAGTTGATCATGGGCCGCTTCTCCCTCGGTTCGCCGGACTCGCCCTCCTCCTCCTCGCCTTGTTCTCGGAGATCGCACTTGAGGGCGACCAGGACAAGCTTCACGCCGGGGCAGTTGTCGGCAATCTCGCCCACCCACTTTGACTCGACGTTTTCAAGCGAATCCTTGCTATCGACGGAGTAGCAAAGCATAATCAGATCCGTATCGTCTGGGGTGAGTCTGGTTAGCACGCGACGCAGATTGGTGGTTGACACGTGAGTTACCATAAGAGAGGGATCTTAACCGGTCGAATTCCTCCTGACCGGCTGTGTCCCAGAGCGAAAGCTCAATATGCACGTTGTCCACAAAGATGTCTGCGCGAAATGTTAGTCTGCGATCCTCGAAAGCACGGGCGAGTGCACCGTATCGTACCGTGGACGTAGTTCTCGAAGACGGTGGGTTCATAGACTGTTGGGAAATAACTGGCGCGACAAATAAGTCTCTCATCCCGCGATTCTTGACTCCTCAGACATACCCTCTCGTAAAGACATTCAGCAACGAGGTCTTTCCGCATGCACCATCGCCCCTAATCGACGCAGTTCAGGTCAGTGCAAGCCCAATGTCTGGGCTGGGCGGGGGATTCGACGCACAGCAGCACCAGCTTACGCTGGACGGTCTTGGAACCTCCGCAGAGAGAAGGCATCGTGGCGGCTCAGTCAAATCGCGTGTGGTGGAAGAGGGAGATTGGGTAAATTCGAGTGAGGAATCGCGATGGCGATCTTGAGTGATCTCGGTTCGTGCTCCCTTGAAACCCTGCTCACAGGTGGCGCGCTGATCAAGACTCGGGTCAGCAAGGTACGGGATAGTAATCGCATACGACTTGGCGGGTGTCAACGGACGCTGTCGGGGGGGATCGAGCTCGGGAGTCGAAAGTGAAGCTTTTCCGAGAGAAGGTGATTGTCGCAAACTGGCCAGATGGCACGTCGTCGGGCAGAGAGGGAGAGAGAGTTGTTGGAGAGGATAGAGGATCGATTTCAATCTCGGGCGACAAATTGGTAGCGCAAGAGGACGGTTCAAGGACCGGCAGGGGCAGCGAGGATAGACGGGGATTAAGTCGACGGGGCAGGAAATGAGCCGTTGGGGGGCAAAAGAGGGAGCGAGAGAAAAAGATGAAGTCAGAGGCCACACAGTGGAGGGAATGGGATTGTGGCCGAGCAAGGAGATGGATCCCATTTCTGTCCATTGCTCGGTGGAGTTCCCCCTCCTGGGCGAGGAATCGGCTGTGGGGAACCTGATTGGCTGGCCGCCCAGATTTAGCTTCAATATTGGACCCAAGCCCGCTGTAACTCCAGCGTCCAGAGTCGGCCTGGAACACGCTCAAGGGGGGCCCGAGCAGGAGAGCACAGCCAGCTGGAGCACTGGAGCACTGGAGCCGTCAGCTGCTGCAGAGTCGGGTCTCCCTCGGCCCCCCTGGCACGCCACTCAACGAGGTCCACTATTCCGGCCCTGACCTTTCCCGACGGGCTCTAGCCTCTCAATTAAACCGTTGCTTCTCCCTCGGCGCCGGCCCATGATCGCCCGGATATTGAGGGGTCCGTGACCGTCCTTTGGAGGGAGGTCCAATATCGAGGCCAAGATTGAGCAAGAGAAGAATCTAGATTCATCACCATCAAGCATGACCCCAAGAACTTGGTCAAAACGGCTCCTCCGTCGGTAAGAACGAGGGTGGAGATGTTCGGAAGCTTCGCGTCGAGTTGTGGCACCTCACCCACCATGTTGGCGATTCAGGTCAGGTTGCTGAATCGTCATTCAGTCGTGGCTTGGCCGCCTTCGTTTATATCCGCGCATTATCTTGCTTGACGTTAGTGCTCCCATCAACTGATACAGTGCAGTACCAAGCGACGGGGCCTTCCAATCGATGTAGTCAGGCTAAGACATTGGCTGCCAAGAGCCCGAGTCTCTGGGTTCTGGGTCAGAATCAACGCCATCTTCCGGTGATGCGACACTGTTCAGTCTTTGGAGTCGGGTGGATAAATCATTCATTATTCCATATGCCACTGTTGTCTATCAACCTCAACCTCGCGCCACAGCTCCGAGGGAGACCTCTGTGCTCATAATTACCTCCAATAGAACCAAATATTAAACGCCGAAAGCCATGATTTGCAACCTTGACATATGCCCGCTTAATCGTCGTCTCTCTGATATCCCCGTCGTGCTCCTCCCATCCGCTCTGCCAAGCCCTTATTTCCTGCCTGCTGGTGCAGTCTGTTGACGAATCCACGATCTCCCCCGCGCTCTCTCGCCTTGTCATCGGCTTCTCGAAGCGCCCGTTCCCGTTCTTCCAGCGCTGCTAACCGCTTCTCACGGTCTTCGTCAAGCTCTGAGGCTGCCGATTGCATCGCTGCCAACTTGCGCTGGCGCTCCTCCTCCTTGGCCTTGTCATCTTCCTCATTGTGTCGTGGTTTCCTATCACGTGCCTCGCCGCTGTAGCTGCGCCGCGAGTCTCGTCGTCGATCATCGTCGTAGCGCCTGTCATCACGGCTTCGACGGTGGCGTCGAGAGGCTTCCTCATCCTCCGAGTCGTGTCTTCTTCGCGAACGTCGTTCTGGCGAGTGGTCATCTCGTTCTCTGCGTCGCCTTTGCCGATCTTCTCGGGAATCGTCGTGTCGTCGTGGGCTTCGTGATCGCGAGTAAGACCGTCTCCGCCTGTGATGTCTGTCCTCTGAGTCGGCACTGCGATGGCGATGTCTCCTGCGGTGTCGCTCGTGTCGTTCCTCTCTCCTCCTAGACTTGTCCTTCTTCTCGTCGTCAACCCCCATGGATGCAAGTAGTTGGCGTCGCTTGATCGGATCGTTCATCATCGCTTCGTACGCAGCTTGCTCCTGTCGCTTGATGGCTAGTAGAGGGTCGTCGCGGATCTTGGCAGCTGTGTCCCGTGCGGTGTTGGCATTTTGCAGTGCCATGAAACTCTCCTCTCCCGCCTGCTTCTCTAGCTTCTTGTGTTCGGTCCCCTTGATGAGGTTGTCGATTCTTCGCTTTCCAAGCAGGTACGCCTCCGTCTCCTCTGTTGTGCCAGTCTGTCCATCGTTGGGACCTTGATACATCCAGTCGACTCGGTCGATGCGCTTCTTGCCTCCGGCGGCCTCAAGTTGTCGCTGAACCTCCTCCTTCGCGCGCTCCTCCTTGATTTCATTGATGCGCTGTTGGGTGCGCTTGCGCTCGGCAAGGGCCTTTTGTTCCTCCTCGTAGACGGCCTGTTGGTTGCGCCTCAGCGCAGGGTGGAAAGACTTTTTCAAGTTGAGATCGCCGCCTCCCATGATGGGCAAATTTGCTGGAATAAGTAGCGGGCAATATGGGTTGGACGAAAAGCGACAGAGCGACAGAGAATACGAATGGAGGGCGAAAAGATGGAAGGGTTGATGAAGAGTGTTTGGATTCCTCCCTTAGGCAGTGGGTGGCGATCAGGTTTGAGTCAGCCACCTGAGTGTCCCCAGCCACACA